ACCGACCTAATTTGGCAGCATTTTTACCCAAACTATATTTTTACAAGGGCAAACCAATGCAAATTAGTCTCATTAGCAAAAATCATTTAGTATAATCGCAACTCTCAAAAGCCAAAGGTGGGACTTGAACCATTAACCTCAGGGATGGGAGTCTGTGTCTTATAGATGACGCTCAGATTTTGATCATTACATGTTTATTCTAACCAAAATAGATTTAAGCAACTAGATTGGTTGGAAAAACAACCAATCTATTCTTAAAATCTAACCAAACTATATCCAAATGACAGCAACTCCTACAAACTCCATCATCTTGACCGAACACTGAGTTTGTTTAAATGCCTGTCGAAGTTCTTGCGCTTTCTGTACCACTTCCCAAAGCGGTCACCTGGTATCACAGTAGCGAGGCTTCGGACGTCATCAATTTTGACCCCTCCCCTAAATGAATCACGCCTCGACATGCGCTTCGGGGAAACGTGCTCGTCCTGTTGGATCTCAGTGCTGCATTTGATCCAGTTGATCATAATATTCTTTTAGAAAGACTTGAATATTTTGTTGGAATTAAAGGAACAGCTCTAGACTGGTTTAAATCGGATCTATCTGATCGATTTCAGTTTGTTCATGTTAATGACAGATCTCTGTCTATAATCCAGATGAAGCTAACCCATTACATAAAGTACAGGCATGTCTGAAGACATAAAAACGTGGATGACTCTTAACTTCCTGCTTCTGAATGCAGACAAAACAGAAGTTATAGTCTTTGGACCAGAGTCTCTGAAAAAGAAGCTGATTAGTCAGTCACTTCATTTGGATGGGATTAAACTGATTTCAGATAATAAAGTAAAAAATCTTGGTGTTATTTTTGATCAGGACCTGTCATTTAAATCCCATATCAAAGAGGTTTCTAGAATTTCCTTCTTTCATCTGAGGAATATTGCAAAAATGAGAAATCTCCTGTCCAGGGGTGATGCTGAGAAACTAGTCCATGCATTTGTTACTTCAAGGCTGGACTATTGTAATTCTTTACTATCAGGAAGTCCACAAACTGGCGTCTGTTTCATGAAGCAGGTTTTCCTCGAAAACTAAGTTGCCTAAACCTGAAAACTATGGACTGTTCTCCCTGCTGCCCTCTGGGAAGAGGCTTCGAAGCATCCGATGCAGGTCCAGCAGGTTCCTAAACAGCTTCTTCCCCACCGCCACCAGACTGCTGAATGTTCACAGTCTTATTTTTACATTTGATCACTGCTGCACTTTCAGAAATGGAAATGTCATGAACATCAACTATGCAGCGAGTTCCTAGGGAAGATTATGAAGCCACGCCCGGCGGGGCTTCAATTCCAGGGTGTGTTTGTAGTGGCTGTATGTAGGGGGTGTATTGGGAGTGGGCCTCAATGCATTACTGCCCATCTCTGGCTATAGGAATTATAATTTAATTATCCATTCCTCCATTTTCTTCTGAATGTGAACTGGTTTTGTTTTTGTCATCGCACAAAGTCTTTTCTCAATAGACTCACACCAGCAAGGTGAGACTTTTGGCTTAGGGGTCTTATTTTACTGACAACTTTTTTCCCCCAAGGTCAAAAGAAATAGCTTTCTGTTAAAGTTTCTCAACTATCCTTAGGATTAATTGTAGTTAAATTATCTACAACAAAGTTAAGAAAATAAACGTCACATATTACAAAACATTCTCTGCTTTCTAAGTCTCCATGTGACAAATTCAATTCAATTCAGTTTATTTATATAGCGCCAAATTCACAACACATGTCATCTCAAGGCACTTTACAGTTCAACCAGATCATACAGTCAAATTGATACAAAGTTTTCTATCTAAGGAAAACCAGTTGATTGCATTGACTCATTGACTCAAATACAATCCCCCACACTAAGCATGCTTGTAGCGACAGTGGAGAGGGAAAAACTCCCTTTTAACAGGAAGAAACCTCCAGCAGAACCAGGCTCAGTGTGAGCGGCCATCTGCTGAGGCCGACTGGGGTTCAAGGAGACAGAAGCAGAGATACAAAAAGCAGCTGTAAAAGGCGGCCCCGTCCAGGAAACACACAGCCAGGCAGACGAGCTCCAAGGCAGCTCCCATGCCAGAGGACGAAGAGAGCACATCCACTCAGTCACGGTCAGAGAAACAGGACCACACTGGAAAACAGGCCGATCTCCAACATCTATTAACAAGGGTGTTGATAGAAGCAGCACAGCTGATGTTTTTTTCCAGGATGACGTCACAGCCAAACAGGAACAGACGAGGCAAAGCTACTCTGAGGAAAAACAGAGAGAGCAGAAGGTTAGAGATTGAACTAACAGATTCTGCAGAATAGGAGAACAGAGAGAGAATGAAGCAGAATGATGAAATGGGGGTCCCTATGTCCTCCAAAAGTCTAAGCCTATAGCAGCATAACTATAGAGATAGCTCAGGATAACCTGAGCCACCCTAACTATAAGCTTTATCAAAAATGAAAGTTTTAAGCCTAGCCTTAAAAGTAGACAGGGTGTCTGCCTCACGGACTAAAACTGGTAGTTGGTTCCACAGGAGAGGAGCCTGATAACTAAAAGATCTGCCTCCCATTCTACTTTTAGAAATTCTAGGAACCACTAGTAAACCTGCAGATTGAGAGCGAAGTGCTCTGTTAGGAACATAAGGAACAATCAGATCTCTGATATAAGATGGAGCTTGGCCATTTAAGGCTTTATATGTGAGAAGGAGGATTTTAAATTCTATTCTTGATTTAACAGGAAGCCAATGAAGAGAAGCCAGGATAGGAGAGATATGATCTCTCTTTTTCATTTTCATTAGAACTCTGGCTGCAGCATTTTGGATCAGCTGAAGGCTTTTAACTACAGTTTGTGGACTTCCTGATAGTAAAGATTACAATAGTCCAGCCTTGAAGTAACAAATGCATGGACTAGTTTCTCAGCATCACCCCTGGACAGGATATTTCTAATTTTTGCAATGTTCCTCAGATGAAAGAAGGAAATTCTAGAAACCTCTTTGATATGGGATTTAAATGACAGGTCCTGATCAAAAATAACACCAAGATTTTTTACTTTATTATCTGAAATCAGTTTAATCCCATCCAAATGAAGTGACTGGCTAATCAGTTTCTTTTTCAGAGACTCTGGTCCAAAGACTATAACTTCTGTTTTGTCTGCATTCAGAAGCAGAAAATTAAGAGTCATCCAGGTTTTTATGTCTTCAAGACATGCCTGTAATCTATGTAATGGGTTAGCTTCATCTGGATTTATAGACAGATATAGCTGGGTATCATCAGCATAACAGTGGAAATTAATCCCATGCTGTCTAATAATTCTACCAATTGGGAGCATGTATAAAGTAAAGAGAATTGGTCCTAGCACTGATCCCTGTGGTACTCCACAGGTAACCTTTGAGCGTGTTGAAGATCTATCATTAACATGAACAAACTGAATTCGATCAGATAGATAAGATTTAAACCAGTCTAGTGCTGTTCCTTTAATTCCAACAAAATATTCAAGTCTTTCTAAAAGAATATTATGATCAACTGTATCAAATGCAGCACTAAGATCCAACAGGACGAGCACAGATACAAGTCCATTATCTGAGGCCATGAGAATATCATTAGTGACTTTCACCAGAGCTGTTTCAGTGCTATGATGAGCTCTAAAGCCAGACTGAAACTCTTCAAAAAGTTCATTATGGTGGAAGTGATCGCAAACTTGTTTGGCAACTACTTTCTCAAGAATTTTGGATAAGAAAGGAAGATTGGATATAGGTCTATAATTGACCAAGTCATCTGGGTCAAGAGACGGTTTCTTAAGCAGAGGTTTAATTACAGCAATCTTAAAAGCTTTAGGTACATATCCCTGTAACAGAGATAGATTAATCACATCTAAAATGGAGGAGGAGATCAAAGGGAATACCTCCTTAAATAACCTGGTTGGAACTGGATCTAACATACAAGTTGAAGGCTTAGATGAAGACAATAATTTTGCTAATTCAGAGAGTTCAACTGGATCAAAGCAGTCTAAACCCGGTTCAGATTCCATGACTACCTCAGGTACAATCGCGGATAGAGGAGTGCTTATGATCTTATTTTTAATAAGATCAATCTTATTTATAAAGAATCCCATAAAATCATTGCTGCTAAGAGCAGGTGGAATGGACGGTTCAACAGAGCTATGGCTCTGGGTGAGTTTGGCAACTGTATTAAAAAGAAATCTAGGATTATTCTTATTCTCCTCTATTAATGAGGAGAAGTATGCTGCTCTTGCTTTACAAAGGGTCCTCTTATACAGCAGTAAACCATTTTTCCAGACTAGGAAGGACTCTCGCAGGCCTGTGGAGCGATATTTTCTCTCCAGTTTCCTAGCATTTTGCTTCAAAGTACGCAGCTCTGCATTAAACCAAGGAGCAAGCTTTCTATTTTTAACGGTTTTCATTTTCAAAGGAGCTGCGTTGTCTAAGGCAATACGCAGAGAACTAGCAACCCCCTCAACAAAATCATCAACCTGTGAAGGGGAATAAGCTAAGCTTTTGCACTCTGCAGCACTGCTCAGTGACACAGAGCAGAGAGAAAGTGAAGCAGATTCTTTAAAATTTATAACTGCACTATCTGATAAAGATCTACTAAAATTGAACCTTCTTTTGGGGGAGGAGAACTCTGTTAAAGTAATCCTGAAGGTTATTAGAAAGTGGTCAGAGAGGACAGGGTTGTGAGGAAATACTGTTATTTCTTCACATTCTATGCCGTATGTCAGCACAAGATCCAAAGTATGAAGATGAGAATGCGTGGGACTATTCACATTTTGAACAAAGCCAATAGTGTCTAAGATAGCATTAAAGGCTGCTCTTAAGCTATCGCCTTCAATGTCAGCATGGATGTTAAAATCTCCCACTATGATGACCCTGTCAGTATTTAATACCAAATCAGAAAGGAACTCTGAAAACTCATCTAAAAATTCAGAGTAAGTAAGTAAATCAAATAACTCTTGATGATAAACAATGTTTTTACACCACCTAACAAGGATATAGTCTCTTTTATTGGAAGTATTCAACTATTAACTCCAGTTTAAAAAATGGAGATCGATGGATTTGACTCAGTTGGCATTTTATTTTGTCTTTGCAAAGAGAGAACAGTTCATCATACGTCCCTTTTTGCAAGGTAATCAGTCCTGTTCTGCATGAGCAGCGTTTGTTCCTCCTTACTTACAATAAAGGAAAGTAGTCAGAGTCAAAACAAATTACAGACACTTTGGTTAAACAGTAACATGTTATGAATAAACCTTAAGAATCTGGCTTGTTATGGAAATAAGTATGTTTTGTCTACAAACAACCCTCACTCGCCTTGCAGGTGAAACAGACTAAGCGAAAAACTTTTTATAGCAAGTAAAAAGCATAAATCAATATATTAAATAAGAGAAATCTAAATTTTCTAAACACATCTCTTATCTGTGTGAGTTCTCGTGTAGTGTCAGGGCAGGTTTCCTCAGGAAACCTTTTCCACAGGTAAGACAGGAGAAAGGCTTCTCACCTGTGTGAGTTCTCAGGTGGCAAATCAAATTACTACGGTCTCGAAAAGATTTCTCACACAAATCACAAGTAGAGGGCCTCTCACCTGTGTGGGTTCTTATGTGTGCATTCAGGGTAGGTTGCTTAGATAAACCTTTTCTACAGATCTGACATGAGAAAGGCTTTTCCCCTGTGTGAGTTCTAACATGACAAACCAAATTACTGCGGTTCTGAAAAGATTTTTCACACAACTCACAGGGAAAGGGTTTCTGACCTGTGTGAGTACTGATGTGTGCAGTGAGGGCAGGTTTACTACAGAAGGTTTTTCTACAGGTCTGACAGGAGAAAGGCTTCTCCCCTGTGTGAGTCCTCATGTGGCAAACCAAAGTACCACTGTTAACAAAAGATTTATTACAAAGTTTGCAAGCAAATGGCTTCTCACCTGTGTGGGTTCTTATATGTGCAGTCAATGTGGGTTGTGTGGAGAAAGCTTTTCCACAAGTATGACATAAGAAAGGCTTTTCCCCTGTGTGAGTTCTCATATGGTAAATCAAGTTGCTGCGATCCCGATAGGATTTTTCACACAACTCGCAAGGAAATGGCTTCTTAGTAGCGTGGGTTCTCATGTGTGCGCTCAGATCAGGTTTCCTTGTGAAAGCTTTTCCACAGGTCTGACAGGAGAAAGGCTTCTCACCAGTATGAGTTCTCAGGTGACAAATCAAATTTCTATGGTCTCGAAAACATTTCTCACACAACTCACAACAATAGGGTTTGTTATCTGTGTGAGTTCTCATGTGCGCAGTCACAGCATGTTTCCGAGTAAAACTTTTTCCACATGTCAGACAAGTGAATGGCTTCTCTCCTGTGTGAGTTCTTAGGTGTGCAGTCAGAGAGGGTTTCCGAAAGAAATCTTTTCCACAGGTCAGACAGGGGAAAGGCCTCTCACCTGTGTGAGTTCTTTTGTGCATTGTCAAATGCTGTGGTTTAGAGAACTTTTTCCCACAGGTGTCACAAGAGAAAGGCTTCTCTCCTGTATGAGTTCTCATGTGTGCCTTAAGAGCTAGTTTCCGAGTGAAACCTTTTCCACAGGTCAGGCAGGAGAAAGGCTTCTCACCAGTGTGAGTTCTCAGGTGAAAAATTAAATTTTTATGGTCTCGAAATGCTTTCTCACACAACTCACAAGAATAGGGTTTCTCCCCTGTGTGAGTTCTCATGTGCACAGTCAGGACATGTTGCTTAGGAAAACCTTTTCCACAGGTAAGACAGGAGAAAGGCTTCTCCCCCTTAGGAATTCTCATCTGTACATTTAACTTTTGCTGAGTAGTGAAATATTTGTCATCTAAATGTAACTTCTCTTTATGTATCATTTCTTTTGAGTTTTTCATATAGTGTCTTTGTTTTGGGTTTCTTTTGCCTTTTTCCTTTTTCCTTAGGCTTCAGCTCTTTTTCTACATTTGGTCTGCAGTCTTGCTGATGTTGCTTCTCAGCTTCAGTGAGGGTTGAACTGAGCAAATGTCTCTCAATAGTTTCTGGTTTATTGGAGTCCTCCTGATTGACAGGAGTGAAGTAAGTAGACTTCTCCTTCACTAAAACCAGCCCTTCATCCTGAAAGATTTCAAGTTGTTCTTCTTTAACTTGCCAAGCTTCCGGTTCTTCCTTTGTCACCACCATCAGTTGTAATTCTGGTCCATTGAGGAATACTTCTTTATCAGAAGGACTTTCCATAAAGGTGCTGGTCTCTTGCTTCACTAAGACCAGTCTTTCATTGTAAAACCTACAATCTTCAAATTCTTCCTTGTTACCTGGTTGAGGTTCTAGTTCTTCTTTTATCTCAGTCATCTGCTTTGGTTTCGTTTTATTTTGTTCCTCTTTAATCTGCACAGGATCCATTTCCTCTTTTAATTCATCAGCGTCTAAAGTGTTTAGATCTGGAACAGAGCTCCTCTCCTCAGTCAGATGATCAGGAACCACCTTCCCTGTAATAACAGACATGATGCTGTTAGAGACCTGAAGGAATGAAGAACAGGAGAGCAAGGTTAAAGCTGCAATCTGTTTTTAAATGTTGAAAATATTTCAGAAAGCTTCAATTTTTCTGACATAACAGAGAAACTGAAGCAAAGAACAGAGATGTTGTTCCTGTTCCAAAACAAAGTTTAGATTGTGTTGAAGTTTCTCTGCAAAACCTTTGAGACATTTTCATCTTTTTCTTGTAATTAACAAAATTGATGCTTTAAAGAGGTAACTGTGTGCAGCCTCTTCCCAGAGGGCAGCAGGGAGAACAGTCCATGGTGGGGGGTGAGGGGTCATTGATGATGTCACGGGTCACGCAGCGCTGGGATGAAATGTCTTTAATGGAGGGAAGAGGAGCCCCCATGATCCTCTCTGCTGTTCTCACCTTCTTCCAGTCTGAGGCGCTGCAGCCTCCACACCACACAGTGAGACAGCTGCTCAGAACGCTCTCTATGGAGCTTCTGGAGAAGGAGGGGAGGATGGGGGGGGGCAGGTGGGCTCTCCTCATCCTCCACAGGAAGTCCAAGCGCTTCTGGGCCCTTTGGACCAGTGAGGTGGTGTTTCCAGTCCAGGTGAGGGTGTCTGTGATGAATGTGGTGCTGCTGACTACCTCTACAGCTGAGCTGTTGATGAGCAGTGGAGCGTGGTTAGGACGGTTCTTCCTGAAGTCCACCATGATCTCCTTGGTCTTCTCCACCTTCAGGATCAGGCTGTTATCTCTGCACCACCAGCTGCTCCACCTCCTCTCTGTAGTCCAGGTCGTCGTCGTCTCTGATGAGGCCCACCACCGCGGTGTCATCTGCAAACTTCACCATGTGATCGGTGGTGAACCTGGGGACGCAGTCGTGTGTCATCAGGGTGAACAGCAGGGGGCTCAGGACGCAGCCCTAAGGGGAGGGGCTTAGACTGATGACATCGGAGGTGTTCAGTCCGACCCAGACTGACTGAGGTCTGTTGGTGAGGAAGTCTAGCAGCCAATAGCAGAGGGATGTGCTGAAACCCAGACGTTCCCTTCAAAGTCAGAATGTGTTTAATAAGCCAAGGTTTCCAGGCTCAGGGAGGCTCTAACCACTGTCTTGTAGCCCACTAGGTGTCGCTGTGGCTCCAGGTAGAAACATACTGATAGGGAAACTGCTTCTCACGAACTGGATTTTATGGGGTGTTAGGGGCCACAAACAGAAGCTGCACTGGTTGGTTTTAATGGTGGCTGGGAACGATGGAGGATCTTCAGAATGTTTTCAACCCATCAGACTGAATAATGGGAAAACTTGATGGGCAAATTATTCAGGAAGATTCCCTCTGGACGTAAGGAAACTTCTGCTTGCCCCTGCTGTGGGTCCTCAGGTGTTTAGCCATGCTGCTGCTGTCACTGGAAGCCTTACCACACACCCTGCAGTAGTACGGCTTCTCTCCGGTGTGGGTTCTCATGTGCTTAGCCAAATTACTACAGTCACTAAAAGATTTGCTGCAGCTTTTGCAGTGGTATGGCTTCTCCCCTGTGTGAGTCCTCATGTGGTTGGTCAAAGGGCTGCGGTTACTGAAGGATTTGCCACAGACTTTGCAGGAATACGGCTTTTCTCCTCTGTGACTCCTGATGTGATCGTTTAAATATGTTTTGTCGCTGTAAGCTTTGCCGCAAGCATCACAAGAATAGGGTTTTTCTCCTGAATGGGTTCTCATGTGAACAGTCAGGTTACTCTGCTGAGTGAAGCCTTTTCCACAGACCAAACATGAGAACGGTTTCTCTCCAGTGTGAGTTCTCATGTGGCTAGCCAAATGGCCGCTGGCTCTGAAAGACTTCTCACATAACTGACAGGAATGGGGCTTCTCACCTGTATGGGTTCTCATGTGCACAATCAGGTTTGTTTTCTGTGTGAAGCATTTTCCACATGTTACACATGAGAAGGGTTTCTCACCTGAGTGAGTTCTCATGTGATCAGTTAGGTAGGTGCACTTGGCAAAGCATTTACCGCATACATGACAAGAAAAGTTTCTATCTTGTGCATCGTCACTGTTTACTTCATGGATGCCTCTCCTTTCTTGGTGACGCTTCAGAACAATGGTTTCCGTCTTCTCCTTCACTTCACACAGCTTGCCTTCCTGCAAGACTCCGATTTCCACCGCTCTATTGTTGATCTGTTGAGTCACCAGTGCCTGTGGGAGTTCTGGTGCTACCTGGTGAGAAGGAGTCGCCGCACATGTGTCGGCCTTCGGCTTCACATCAGCCTGCTCCTCATCCTGAATGATGCAGACTTCAATCTCTTCGTCTTTAATGGGACGAGCTCTTGGCTCGTTCTGTTCCTCTTTCTTCTCCACATTAAGACATTTTGTGTTGTCATGAGTGGAGCTCTTGGCTTGGTTGATGAGAAAGTGATCACCAACAACCTCCCAAGTGATGACAGACATGATGACATGGACGATCTGAAATAAGAAAGAAATCAATTTAACTGGCATTTAAGTCAGAGTTGATTTCCCCTTTTCCACTGATCTTATTTAGTCCCAAAACAAAGAAACAGACTAAATCCATCTTTAACCTGGCTGACAGGGATGGACGATAAAACGCATCTCTCTCTGAATTTAATCCTCTGAACAAACTTCTGAGAATGATTGATCCATGAAATTCCTCCAATTTAACATGTAGAAATAGAAATTGAACCCTATTGATCTCACATTGGAAAAATTCCCTCTCTGCATTTAACCCCTCCCCTTGGGGAGCAGTGGTCTGCCATTGTGCGGCGCCCGGGGAGCAGTGTGGGGTTAAGGGTCTTGCTCATGGACCCAGAGTGGCAGTCTGTGGGAATTGAACCGGGTACTTGCAACTTTCTCAGAGGACAAGCACACTGCTATAACCACTAGCCCAAAGAGATCTACAATTTTCGGAGCTCTGACCTGAACAGATGAACTATCCTGGTATTTCTATCCACGGCTTCTCTCTCTTCACCTCCTGTATCTTTCATAATTAACTTTGAGGAGAAAAGCCTCCTCAGCCTAAAAATGTATGTAGAGAACAGTTTGGAAGTAGAGAATAGAGATGTCCCGATCCAGGTTTTTGCACTTCCGATCCGATACCGATGTTGTTTTTGGACTTCCGATCCGATACCGATACTGGCCGATACCAGCCTATCCGAGCATGTATTTAAGTTTAAGTTAAAGTATTTAGCCTTAGTTGTAAGACTCATGTTGAAAAGGGTTTTAGTACTCTTGATAACATCTAGCCAGCTAAATTAGGTGAGACTGAATAAAACACAATGCTTGGTAACAACAAACTTACCTGTTTATTAAGAGATAAACACAAACTGGACAAAATTACGAATAGCAATCTGAAATTGCACAGTGAACAGTAAAACCGTAAACAGTTAAAGGTGCAAGTATTACTGTAAGTTTTAATAAAAATGCAAAACAGGGAAACAGTGGCGCAAAATAGCGGAATGGATCGTTTCAATCGGCGAAACTGGAAAATACGGACCGGATTTTTTTTTTTTTACTGGATCGGCATTTTACATGCTTTGCCGATACGCATTTTTTTGCCAATATCGGCGTCCGATCCGATACGTGGATCGGATCGGGACAAGCCTAGTAGAGAACAGACTGGATGTAGAGAACAGTCTGGAAGCAGAGAACAGTCTGGATGTAGAGAACAGTCTGGATGTAGAGAACAGTCTGGAAGTAGAGAACAGTCTGGTTGTAGAGAACAGTCTGGAAGTAGAGAACAGCCTGGAAGTAGAGAACAGCCTGGATGTAGAGAACAGTCTGGATGTAAAGAACAGTCTGGATGTAGAGAACAGTCTGGAAGTAGAGAACAGTCTGGAAGCAGAGAACAGTCTGGATGTAGAGAACAGTCTGGATGTAGAGAACAGACTGGAAGTAGAGAACAGTCTGGTTGTAGAGAACAGTCTGGAAGTAGAGAACAGCCTGGAAGTAGAGAACAGCCTGGATGTAGAGAACAGTCTGGATGTAAAGAACAGTCTGGATATAAAGAACAGTCTGGATGTAGAGAACAGTCTGGAAGCAGAGAACAGTCTGGATGTAGAGAACAGTCTGGATGTAGAGAACAGTCTGGAAGTAGAGAACAGTCTGGTTGTAGAGAACAGTCTGGATGTAGAGAACAGTCTGGAAGTAGAGAACAGACTGGATGTAGAGAACAGACTGGATGTAGAGAACAGTCTGGATGTAAAGAACAGTCTGGATGTAAAGAACAGTCTGGAAGTAGAGAACAGCCTGGAAGTAGAGAACAGTCTGGATGTAGAGAGCAGTCTGGATGTAGAGAACAGTCTGGATGTAAAGAACAGTCTGGATGTAGAGAACAGTCTGGATGTAGAGAACAGACTGGATGTAGAGAAGAGACTGGATGTAGAGAACAGTCTGGATGTAGAGAGCAGTCTTGATGTAGAGAACAGTCTGGATGTAAAGAACAGTCTGGATGTAGAGAACAGTCTGGATGTAGAGAACAGTCTGGATGTAGAGAACAGTCTGGAAGTAGAGAACAGTCTGGATGTAGAGAACAGTCTGGAAGTAGAGAACAGACTGGATGTAGAGAACAGTCTGGATGTAGAGAACAGTCTGGACGTAGAGAACAGTCTGGATGTAGAGAACAGTCTGGATGTAGAGAACAGTCTGGATGTAAAGAACAGTCTGGATGTAAAGAACAGTCTGGAAGTAGAGAACAGCCTGGATGTAGAGAACAGCCTGGAAGTAGAGAACAGTCTTGATGTAGAGAACAGTCTGGATGTAGAGAAAAGTCTGGAAGTAGAGAAAAGTCTGGAAGTAGAGAACAGCCTGGATGTAGAGAACAGTCTGGAAGTAGAGAACAGTCTGGATGTAAAGAACAGTCTGGAAGTAGAGAGCAGTCTGGATGTAGAGAACAGTCTGGATGTAGAGAACAGTCTGGAAGTAGAGAGCAGTCTGGATGTAGAGAGCAGTCTGGATGTAGAGAAGCAGTCTGGATGTAAAGAACAGTCTGGATGTAAAGAACAGTCTGGAAGTAGAGAACAGTCTGGAAGTAGAGAGCAGTCTGGATGTAGAGAACAGTCTGGATGTAAAGAACAGTCTGGATGTAGAGAACAGTCTGGAAGTAGAGAGCAGTCTGGATGTAGAGAGCAGTCTGGATGTAGAGAGCAGTCTGGATGTAAAGAACAGTCTGGATGTAAAGAACAATCTGGATGTAGAGAATAGTCTGGATGTAAAGAACAGTCTGGAAGTAGAGAACAGCCTGGAAGTAGAGAACAGTCTGGATGTAAAGAACAGTCTGGATTTAAAGAACAGACTGGATGTAGAGAACAGACTGGATGTAGAGAACAGTCTGGATCTAAAGAACAGTCTGGATGTAAAGAACAGTCTGGATGTAAAGAACAGTCTGGAAGTAGAGAACAGCCTGGAAGTAGAGAACAGTCTGGATGTAAAGAACAGTCTGGATGTAAAGAACAGTCTGGATGTAGAGAACAGTCTGGATGTAAAGAACAGCCTGGATGTAGAGAACAGTCTGGATGTAAAGAACAGTCTGGAAGTAGAGAGAAGTCTGAAAGTAGAGAACTGCCTAGAAGTAGAGAACAGTCTGGAAGTAGAGAACAGCCTGGATGTAAAGAACAGTCTGGATGTAGAGAACAGTCTGGAAGTAGAGAGCAGTCTGGATGTAGAGAGCAGTCTGGATGTAGAGAGCAGTCTGGATGTAAAGAACAGTCTGGATGTAAAGAACAATCTGGATGTAGAGAATAGTCTGGATGTAAAGAACAGTCTGGAAGTAGAGAACAGCCTGGAAGTAGAGAACAGCCTGGATGTAAAGAACAGTCTGGATTTAAAGAACAGACTGGATGTAGAGAACAGACTGGATGTAGAGAACAGTCTGGATCTAAAGAACAGTCTGGATGTAAAGAACAGTCTGGAAGTAGAGAACAGCCTGGATGTAGAGAACAGTCTGGAAGTAGAGAACAGTCTGGATGTAAAGAACAGTCTGGATGTAAAGAACAGTCTGGATGTAGAGAACAGTCTGGATGTAAAGAACAGTCTGGATGTAGAAAACAGCCTGGAAGTAGAGAACAGCCTGGATGTAGAGAACAGCCTGGATGTAGAAAACAGTCTGGATGTAAAGAACAGTCTGGAAGTAGAGAGAAGTCTGAAAGTAGAGAACAGCCAGGAAGTAGAGAACAGTCTGGAAGTAGAGAACAGCCTGGATGTAGAGAACAGTCTGGATGTAAAGAACAGTCTGGACGTAAAGAACAGTCTGGATGTAAAGAACAGTCTGGAAGTAGAGAACAGCCTGGAAGTAGAGAACAGCCTGGATGTAGAGAACAGTCTGGATGTAAAGAACAGTCTGGATGTAAAGGACAGTCTGGAAGTAGAGAACAGCCTGGAAGTAGAGAACAGCCTGGATGTAGAGAACAGTCTGGATGTAAAGAACAGTCTGGATGTAAAGGACATTCTGGAAGTAGAGAACAGTCTGGAAGTAGAGAACAGTCTGGAAGTAGAGAACAGCCTGGAAGTAGAGAACAGCCTGGATGTAGAGAACAGTCTGGATGTAAAGAACAGTCTGGATGTAAAGAACAGTTTGGAAGTAGAGAACAGTCTGGATGTAAAGAACAGTCTGGAAGTAGAGAACAGCCTGGAAGTAGAGAACAGTCTGGATGTAAAGAACAGTATGGAAGTAGAGAACAGTCTGGATGTAAAGAACAGTCTGGAAGTAGAGAGCAGTCTGGATGTAGAGAACAGCCTGGATGTAGAGAACAGTCTGGATGTAAAGAACAGTCTGGAAGTAGAGAACAGTCTGGATGTAGAGAACAGTCTGGATGTAAAGAACAGTCTGGATGTAGAGAACAGTCTGGAAGTAGAGAACAGCCTGGAAGTAGAGAACAGTCTGGATGTAGAGAGCAGTCTGTATGTAAAGAACAGTCTGGATGTAAAGAACAGTCTGGAAGTAGAGAACAGTCTGGACGTAAAGAACAGTCTGGACGTAAAGAACAGTCTGGATGTAAAGAACAGTCTGGAAGTAGAGAACAGCCTGGAAGTAGAGAACAGCCTGGATGTAGAGAACAGTCTGGAAGTAGAGAACAGTCTGGATGTAAAGAACAGTCTGGATGTAAAGAACAGCCTGGAAGTAGAGAACAGCCTGGATGTAGAGAACAGCCTGGATGTAGAGAACAGTCTGGATGTAAAGAACAGTCTGGATGTAGAGAACAGTCTGGATGTAAAGAACAGCCTGGAAGTAGAGAACAGCCTGGATGTAGAGAACAGCCTGGATGTAGAGAACAGTCTGGATGTAAAGAACAGTCTGGAAGTAGAGAGAAGTCTGAAAGTAGAGAACAGCCTGGAAGTAGAGAACAGTCTGGAAGTAGAGAACAGCCTGGATGTAGAGAACAGTCTGGATGTAAAGAACAGTCTGGACGTAGAGAACAGTCTGGAAGTAGAGAACAGCCTGGAAGTAGAGAACA